TCTTTTTTCTTCACTACAACAGCTTTTGTTACATTACAAAGTAAGCATTTTACTACATATGAAGAGTTTATAAAATATGTTTTGTAATTAATTTAATTACCCAACAGTTTATTCAAGCACAGCTGAAACAATTAGTTGGTTGAAAATCATCTATCGTTCCAGCTTCACAAATTAATTATTTAAAAAATTTTGATGTAGTGTTAATAATATTGAGGTTTGGATTGACATGACCTGACCAATCGTTCACAAATGGTTAAACATGGCAACGACATGTCAGATCCAGTCCTTGTTACAAAAAGTGTTCCACAAGGCTCAGTTTTGGGACCCTCGCTTTTCCTAGTTTACATTAATAATGTTTGTGATGTTTAAATTCTGTAAGGATCATCTGTATGCAGATGACACAGTTCTGTACTCCTGTGCCCCCACAGCAGAGTTTGCCTTTTCAAATGTGCAGGCAGATTTTTATACCCTGCAATATGCTCTGTCAGATTTGAAGTTGCTTCTAAATTCCCACAAAACTAAAATTATGATTTTTGCCACTGGGCGAACAAAGGTACCACCCCTCTCCATCACGACCCTGTATGGAGTCTGTATCCAGTCTGTTGATAATTACAAATATCTGGGAATCTGGTTTTACAAAAAAACCTAAATTTTAAATACCATGTTAATTATCTTGCAAAGAAATTAAAATTCACGTTGACTTTTCTGTATATGTGAAAGTCATGCTTTTCAATGGCTTCACAAAAACACTTAGTTGCTGGCCTTTTTCTGCCACAGATTGATTATAGGGACACTACCTACAGGTTTGCCTCTCTGTCCACCTTGTCCAAACTTGACCCCCTTTATCACTCAGCTCTCAGATATGTCACTAACTCTAGTTTCAGGATACATCATTGTATATTGGACAGACTGGAAAGATGGTCATCCCTTCACTTGCAAAGATATGTTAGGTAGACTTCCAAATTATTTAAACAGGACATTTTTAACTTTACAAAGCAGTCATGAGCTCAGGTCACATAATGGGCTACAGTTCAAAGTGCCTGCTATCAGAACCATGGCAGGTACTCAAAGTATAAAAGGGGGCACATGGAACAAGGATTTAAATAGGGCTGTTCTCAAAATATTGATACGGAAATATATCGTTATGTATTCCTTGCTGATATGCGTATACTGATGCTCCTGTATTGATACATCAGCAAATGGTATGACACAGTTTTGAAAAAGAAACACAGGGAATACCCAGCTCGTGCTTTAAACACTGTGGGCTGTTGATGGTGTTGCTGGGGATGTTGCTGCTGATACTACTGGTGGTGATCTGTGACTATCGATATTATAACAAACTTAGGAGACATTAGCTGATTAAACAAAATATGTGACCGTGACAAGATGTAAAGATTGCTGACAGTATTTGGAACTGGCTCACAGTGACTGACCTGCTGTAGTGCTGCAGCCGCTGCCAAGGCTGACTGCTACGATAAAATAAGAGGGAGATGGTCACAGAGACTGCTGCACACCAAAAGCTGCAGGTAGAGGAAATAAGATACCAGGTTCAAAACTGTGTGGGAAATAATCGGAGGAGGATACAGTACTGGGAGAAAGGACGAGGTCAGCCAAGGCAGGGTTAAGAGTGAGACAAATCTATAGACAGGTGTGTGCGTGTGTCTATAGGCAATATTTTGATAATGATATATTTCACTGTGACATTTGGAATTCTTTATTACATTTATTTAATCTTGCTTTAGCATATAAAAAGCATTCAAAATATATTTTCATGTCTGCCATCTCCTTTTACATGTTGCTACAGTGGGGGAAATAAGTATTTGACCCCTTGCTGATTTTGCAGGTTTGCCCACTTACAAAGAATGCAACGATCTATAATTTTAATCATATGTACATTCTAACAGTGAAAGACAGAATCCCAAAGAAAATTCCAGAAAATCACATCATATGAATTTATTAAAATTGATAACCATCTGATGAGGAAAAACAAGTATTTGACCCCCTGGACAAACAGCATGTTAATATTTTGTAGAAAAGCCAGCACAGATATCAAACGGTTTTTATAGTTGGTGACAAGGTTTGTGCACATTTCGGCAGGGATGTTGGCCCACTCCTCCCTGCAGACAGCCTCCAATTCATTCAGGTTCCGAGGTTGTCGCCTGGCAACTCGAATTTTAAGCTCCCTCCAAAGATTTTCAATTGGATTCAGGTCTGGAGACTGGCTAGGCCACTCCAGAACCTTGATGTGCTTCTTCTTCAGCCACTCTTTTGTTGCTTTGGCGGTGTGCTTAGGGTCGTTGTCGTGCGGAAACACCCATCCTCGACCCATCTTCAGCTCTCTCACTGAGGGAAGGAGATGTTGGTCCAGAATTCCACGATACATGGCCCCGTCCATCCTCCCCTCAATACGATGGAGTTGTCCCGTCCCCTTGGCTGAAAAGCACCCCCAAAGCATGATGTTGCCACCACCATGCTTGACGGTGGGGATGGTGTTCTTTGGGTTGTACTCGGTGTTCTTTGCCCTCCAAACACGACGAGTTGAGGTGAGGCCAAAAAGTTCTATTTTGGTCTCATCTGACCACATCACCTTCTTCCAGGCCTCTTCTGAGTCGTCCAGGTGGTGAATGGCGAACTTCATGCGGGCCTGTACATGTTTCTTCTTGAGCAGGGGGACCTTGCGTGCGCTGCAGGATTTCAATCCATGACGGCGTAGTGTGTTACCAACCGTTTCTTTTGTAACTGTGGTCCCAGCTGCCTTCAGTTGATTCATCAGTTCCCCCCTTGTGGTTTTGGGATGATTCCTCACCGTTCGCATGATCAGGGACACCCCACGAGGCGAGATCTTGTGTGCAGGCCCAGACCGAGGGAGGTTGGCGGTGGTGTGGTGCTTCTTCCATTTCCTGATAACTGCACCGACAGTTGATCTTTTCTCTCCAAGTTGCTTTCCAATTCTCTTGTAGCCCATCCCAGCCTTGTGCAGATCAACAATCTTGTCCCTGATGTCCGTAGAAAGCTCTTTGGTCTTGCCCATGGTGGTGATGTTGGATGCTGGTTGTTTGGGTGTTGACAGGTGTCTTTTATACAGGTAACGAGGTGAGGCAGGTGTATTTGATGTAGATAATTGGTTGGGATTGGGGCTGTGTCTTAAAGAAAGACTAACTGGCTTGTAGGAGCCAGAATACTTGCTGTTTGGTAGGGGGTCATATACTTGTTTTTCCTCATCAGATGGTTATCAATTTTTATAAATTCATATGATGTGATTTTTGGAATTTTCTTTGGGATTCTGTCTTTCACTGTTAGAATGTACATATGATTAAAATTGTAGATTGTTGCATTCTTTGTAAGTGGGCAAACCTGCAAAATCAGCAAGGGGTCAAATACTTATTTCCCCCACTGTACATCCCGAACTCCCATTACCCATAAACGTGAATAAAAACAATTAAAAAAAAAACAAATAAAGGAACAATTACTTAAATAACTGACAATGAAAATAATAATAATTTGAAAACCTTTCAAAACAATTGTTATATTTGATTCTATTCTGACTTTCCACTGGTTGTCCTTTGTTCGTGGCATCCATCTATCGCTCACTTTCACTATCTCTCTTTCACTATCTCTGTCTTTCACTATCTGTCTTTCACTGTCTATTTTGCTATCTCTCTCTTTTAGTATCTCTGTCTTTCACTGTCTATCTTTCACTCTCTTTCACGGTCTATTTTTCACTCTCTTTGTCTTTCACTATCTCTCTATTTCACTATCTCTTTCACTATCTCTGTCTTTCATTATCTCTTTTACTATCTCGTTCACTATTTCTTTCATTATGTCTTTCACTATATCTTTCAATCTCTATTTCTTTACTATCTTTTCTGTATCTCTTCACTATCTCTTTCAGTATCTCTATTTTTAACTATTTCTCCTTCACTACCTTTCACTGGCTCTGTCTTTCACTATGTCTATCTTTAACTAATTCTGTCTTTCACTATCTCTTCAGTATCTCTTTCTCTATCTCTTTCACTATTTCTCGTTCACTGTTTCTTTATCTCTTCACTATCTCTGACTTTCACTATCTCTCGTTCATTATCTTTCACTGTTTCTGTCTTTCACCATGTCTATCTTTCACTATCTCTGTCTTTCATTATCTCTTCAGTATCTCTCTTTCACTTGCTCTATCTTCACTATGTCTCTTTCTCTATCTCTTTCACTGGCTCTTTCTTTCACTATGTCTATCTTTAACTATATCTGTCTTTCACCATCTCTTCAGTATCTCTTTCATTGTTTCTGTCTTTCACTATCTCTCTTTCACTCTTTCACTATTTCTTTCCCTGTCTGTGTCTTTCACTATCTCTCGTTCATTATCTTTCACTGTTTCTGTCTTTCACTATCTCTTTCAATATCTCTGTGTTTCACTGTCTTTTTCACTGGCTCTGTCTTTCACTATCTCTCTTTCACTCTCTTTCACTATTTCTTTCCCTGTCTCTGTCTTTCACTATCTCTCGTTCATTATCTTTCACTGGCTCTGTATTTCACTATCTCTCGCCCAAAGCCTTAAAGCCAACCAACCCCGTGACATTACAGGTTATAGTACTGCACAATGGTGGCGCCCTTTCAGTGAAAGATATGACAGTTCCTTCTTTTCTTTTGTCTTTTATACGTTTACATTTGTCATGTTTCTTGTATAATTGTTGATCGTAGTGGAAATCCATTGTGTAAATGATGTAAACTTGATTGACTGCTTCATTTCCCTTTAAGGTCTCAATGCCATCATTGTTCCAAACAAGTACCGTTTTACTTGTGCTCTCCTGCTTTCGAGCAGGGACTTGTAGGTGGGAATTAAACGGACATTATGGTGAGAGGTGCAAATGGGGGTTTAGTATTACAGTCTACATATTGCTTCAAACCCAGGCAGCACAGCTTAAAGCTTGCAATGGTTACAGTCACCAAGCATTTCAATTGTCTGTGAAAACAATCTGCTGGAGTAGTATTGGAGAAAATACTATGAACATATTCAAGTTCTGTTATTTGTTTATTGTGTTTTATCTGTAGCGCTTCATTTAATGTTGCTTCTATCACCACTAAAACAAATCCTGACTATATCATAAACCACTGAAGTTTAACAGTGTGTGACTCCCTCTAGTGGACGTTGTGGAGTATTCTGTTGTCTTTGCTCCAAAGGTTTTTGTACAGAGTTTTGGTGTTTCCTGTCACTGTGGGCTGCAGAGCACAGTAGTACACAGCAGAGTCAGTCAGCTGAAGCTTCTGGATCTTCAGAGGAACTGACTTATCCTTGATTGTAGCATTAAATCTGTCTTTCGTGAACTCTGCATCAAAATCTGTTGTTTTTGAGTAACTTTTCAGCATGTACTTAGGAGACTCATTTACTTGTTTGTACCAGAACAAAGTTGGACTTGCTCTACTCGTCTCAAAAGTACAGCCAAGTGTAACTGTGTCTCCTTCAGCAGCAATGACATCTCCTGCTGGCTGGGTCACTCTGTCTTCTCCTTTACACTCTGGGGAAGAAGAGAACATGCAGAGGAAGAGATGGATCAATAAAGATGATTGATTAAAGGAGAACAATCAGTAGGTTTAAAGAGTTACCTAGCCAGAGAGTCAGAATCAGGATGTTTCTCAGCCAGTGGTTCATGTCTGCAGTGAGAGGGGAGGAGAGAGAGGAAGAACATTGATACTCTGATGGATCTGGGCCTTCACATCATTGGCCCTTCCTCTTCATCATCTGTTGAGGAACTCTCAACATTTACATCTCATTTACATCTCAGCTGTTTAGCTGATGCTCTTATCCAGAGCAGCTCATAATGAGGAGCTTTAACATGTGAACTTTCTGTTACAACAAAGTCTTTTCACCCTGGAATAGTTAAATAGATTCATCAACATGGGTCTGTAATTATTTTAGTTTGTCTCATCATCAGAAATAGCCTCAATTAAACACCATGATCTGGATTAACTGTGTTTTATTAATAACAGGAGTAATATTGTTACTTGTCATTAGATTGTGTTGTCAGTGTCCACTTGGTGTCACTGTTGTTCAGTAAAAGGAGGAGCTGCAGTGAGTAAATCTTCAGAGGAGCTGTCAGGTTTTTGTATAGACTTCTGGTGTTTCCTGTCACTGTGGGCCTCACAGCACAGTAGTACACAGCAGAGTCTGTCACTGCAGCAGAGGAGATCTGCAGATCCAGATGGGTTTTATCATCACTCACTTTAGCAGACCATCCAGGGACTGGATCATTTCCTACTGCTCCTGAAGCAGAGTGTGAGATGAGGAGCCCTGGTGGTTTTCCTGGATATTGTCGATACCAGAAGAAATAATCTCCAACATTTGCTTTTTTAGAGTATTTGTAGGACAGAGTAACAGAGCTGTCTTCTAAAGCGAACTCTTCATTCTTGACTGGAGTGAGTTCTTCACAGCTGACACCTGAAGGAAGAGATAACTCTGTAACTTTACAATCTAAAGGTTTCTATCAGTGAAGCTCTCTTAATGTTGATGATCTCACCTACCTCTTATTGTGAGCAGAAACAAAGTCACAAACACACTGAAGTTCACTGACAGCATCTTAAAGAGAAAGAGAATCTGTCTGTGAAAGTTTGTGTCTTTTCTGTCCTTGAGTCCCAGTTTTGCTCCTCCCTTAATTCCTCCCTCCTTCCTTCACAACTCTGACAAATAGTGAGTTTGTCTCTGCTGTGGTGCTGTTATTCACTAAATGACATCATTTCCATCAGGTAACAAGTAGCTGATAAGGTAACACTGATTGACTCTTTGCAGAACATGTGAAGGTCCTGACTGAGGTCAGTCTTTACACAGACGATATACTACTGTTACTAGTATCTACTTCTGATTCTGTACCTGTCTGTTGCCTTATGATCTATTTCCTACCTGGTTAAAATAACACATTTGCACATATATTTTCTGAACTTTTATCTTCTGTTGTTTGAAGTTATTGCTGAAGATTTTAGTATCTAAATTAATGTTTCAATCAACTTTTGCTACAGATTCTTTAAATATGTCATTCATTTAATTTCGTCCAGCATGTGTCTGGTCCAACTCATAACCGTGGCCACACATTAGATTTAGTCTTTACTCTTCATCTGAGTATAGATTCTATTGTCTTGTTTCTCCTCACCTTTGTATCCATGCTGCCTAAGACTAAATTGCATGTCTGTTGTAAGAAGTCAAAAGGTCCTTCATATACAAATAGCAAACAATTGAAAGCTGCAAGAGCCAACTACTTCAGTAACCTCCTCACCAGTAACCAGAATAATCCTAGATTCCAGTTTAAAACCATTAGACAGACTCATCAACTCTGCTCCCCCTGCCTTACCAGCCTCTTCAAATGCTGACTGTCAACGGTTTTATTATCTTTTAAGTAGAAAATCACTGACATTAGGTCTAACACCTACTACCACTGTTGTTGCTGATATTTCTTATTATCCTGCCTGTCCTGAACTGCTCAGCAATTTTCAGCTAATTTCTTTTCCTGAGCTCATCGATACTGTCTCTCACATGCTTTCCTCTTCAAGCCCTCTTGATATCTTAGCCACATCCCTCCTAACGAAGGTTATAGTGGACATCGGCCTTTGCTTACCTCACGTTATTAATTGTTCCCTTTCTTCCTGCCGCATCCCTAATTATTTTAAGCAAGCTAGCATTCAGCCTTTATTTAAAAAGCATAACTTGATTAATCGCTTCCACAGAACTATAGACCCATTTCTAAGCTTGCTTTCATATCCTAAGTTCTTGATGGTGCTAACTCAACTCTTAGCTGTGTTAGACTGGGCTTCACAAACTTCACATTACAGAAACCGCCCTCATTATGGTTACATACGATTTATTGATGCCGATGCTGGGGAGTCACATGTTTTATTGTTGCTCAACCTTAGTAATTTGCTTAACACTATTGATCAAATAATTGAATTTCCTGTCTCCATTGGTACTTATGTTTCATCTTACCCTCTGCTGAAGTGTGGGGTGGCTCAGGGATCTATTCTTGGTCCCATTTTGTTTTCCTTTTATATGCTTCCATTAGGAAACATTATCAGTTATTATAAAAGAGTCTCTCATAACTGCTACGCTGATGATACACATGTTTACTTGTCCTTTTAGCCAGATAACATTAGCTGTCAATGTAATGGAGTTCTTGTTTGTTATTGCGAAATGGATGACTTGTTACTTTCTGCAGCTCAACTCAAACAAGACAGAAATAATAATATTTGGCCCTGATCACCTAGTAAGCAAACAACAACCGTTTATTGGTCCACTGACAACCAATTGAAAATCTCCAGCCAGAAATCTAGTTGTAACATTTAATCCTGCTACTTCCACCTTAGAAATATTACCAAAATAAAATGAGCTATGTCCTTTATCTTTTCACACCTGGACTATTGCAGTGCACTGTGTGTGACTCCCTCTGGTGGACGTTGTGAAGTATTCTGTTGTCTTTGCTCCAAAGGTTTTTGTACAGAGTTTTGGTGTTTCCTGTCACTGTGGGCTGCAGAGCACAGTAGTACACAGCAGAGTCTGTCACTTTAGCTGAGATGATCTGCAGATTCACACGCTTGTCTGTTTTGTTAATGTGAGCTGAGAAAACAGAACCAGGTGGATGAATCGTTCCTCCCTCTGTGATGGAGAGCAGGAACTCTGGTCTGGATCTCTGGTATTGTCGGTACCACTGGATATTGGTGATGAAACCCTCATATTTACAGGTCAGGTTGATGTTTCCTCCCTCTGCAACATGTTCTTCAGGACTTTCTGGCGTTATGCTGTTCATGGAACCCAGGGCTGCAAAATGAGTCATTCATGTCAGTTAGTCTGCAAGAGATTCTAACATCAAGAGACTCAACGGAGGTTCTTGACTTTCTGGATTCATTCAATAAACCAAATGTCTGTTTCTATCATGGAAGTTGTTCCCTTCCACAGAGAAACCTCTAGTTCTGAAATGTAGACCAAATATCTGGTTAATCCAGCAGGTTAATGAGCCTTTCATCTGTGTTCCAACACTCACCTATGAAGTGAGAGCAAAGTAAAAAGAGGTAAAGCAACATGTCTTTGGAGTTGTTAAAGCCAGACAGACAGCAGATGAGCAATGTTCTTCCACTGCAGTAGAATGAAGAAACTAAACAGCCTCTCTGCTGCACAGCCCTTCTCCTCAACATCAAGCTGATTGTGCTTTTAGTTCCTCAAACATTTCTGCTCTGGAGACGCAAAGAATCTCATTGGTTGAGTTGGACTTCAGTGGGCGGGGCCAGAGAATCCCCTTTTTAGAGATTGGCTGTCTACCAAAGTTCAGTTCAGCCAGTGAGATTATTTGTGCATCCAGAGCAGCTCTGCCTCAGAGAAATGTTTCCTGAATGTCCACTTTCAGTTCTTCACACCATTGTGAGACCGAGGCAGGTCCCACTAGAAGGAAGCCTACCTGAAGACCTGCTCTCTATTCTGGGAACATGGAGGACATTTCATTAGGGACGTCCTGATCAGGTTCTTTTGTCCCCTGTTCTAATCAGAGTCATTTAAAATTAAGCATCTGTCCAAACAGAGTCCCTATCTGAAACTTGTCCAAAATAACAGAGCAACAGGTTAACACATATAAACCAGTTTTTTTCTGAGCAGGTATCGGCAGAAACAATTTCTTTATCAGGGAGCAGCAGAAACAGTCTGTGTTCAGTAACAAGTGTCCCTGTTAGAGTGAGGTGAAGTGTCGCAGTCGCTCATGCACACGCCCGCCTGCTGCCGAAGGTGAATTGTCCTGAACTTTTCGTACGCCTCGCGACCGATGTGCTAACAGGTAGGGTTAGCCTCCAACGGCCTTTTCTGACCCAGAACTGTCTGAACAGGCTGTGTCCGTACACGGCACAGTTTTCAAATCCATGTTCTCACTGGATTCGTTTGGCTTCTGCCTGGAATTCACTGCTTCTAACCTCAACTACTATCCATCTCAAAACACAACCATGTCTGACATTTCATCCATTCTGCAAACACTCTCATATACTACTCCAAACGCAACAAGACCAACAGTCCAGCTATCCTCAATCTGTTCACCTCTTTCCACTAACCCTGCACCTAAGCCCTGAAAACTCACAACCCAAGACCAGCCAGTTATGTTTGCCCCCTAAGACTCTCAGTTCACAGAGGGGTCTTTTCCTGCGTACCTCATCAACCTCCGCAACTAACCAACAACATCTGAAACCATGGGCGGAGCGGAGGGGGTGGGGCTAATTGGGTTTAAGCACTAAAGAAGAAGAAAAATAGAACTCTTCTTCTTTGGCATCGTGATAGGACGCTGTTGTCTGTGCTGTTTTACTGGCGCCCCCTCAGTGAGCGAGCGTGCTAGCTAACCAGCTAGTGTTATGGACAAAGTTTGTTATGCGCAGAGGTAAACCTGACCGGCCGTTCACAGAGAGAAGCAGCGTCAGACAGTGAACAAGTGTTTCAGGTTTGTGAGTCTGCAGCTGTAACACTTGAGTTCAGTGACTGTATTTCTGGCTAGTTAGATGTTATTAGGTGATATTATCTCACTATTAGAGATGTTCGGCTGATTCTGAGGCTCGTTTCCTCCTGTGAAGCGCACAGTTTCAACACATTGTGCCTGATCTTGTATCACATGATCATCTCAGGGCGTTTTCCAGCTGATCTCAGCA